TTCCAAACTTTTTTTAATTTAAGTTTGACATCAAATTACTGATTAATAAGATTATTAGTGAAAACTTGTGAGTATTTAAACTACTTTAAAAAATTATATCGTTTAAGGCATGCACAATTGGATTTACCAATAGTTATTTATAATTGCAGACTAAAAATGTTTTAAATTAATCCTAAACTAGAGTCCAAAGGGTGACGAGTGGGATAAGGCCGGTATTCAAAGACAATTTATAGCTTATTGCAAACAGAGCAAAGCAATGCATTATTTAGTTCTACTGTGTTGTGTATGGCGAGTGTGGAGAACAAGATACTCTTTTCACTAGAAACAAGGCATTCCATGTTAGTCCTTCATAGTAACAACGCATTATGTATTTTGATTCTTCCATAAAGTTGATATAGTCGTAGATCGAGGATAGTTGTAGATGCCTACGGGCCACAGCATCCATTTACCTTCAGGTGGACTGTGTGCAAGTTTGTCACTGTTATCCTACACAAAAAAAGTATTTTTGGCCACGTACTTTAATCATTCCCGTCGTTTCAAACTTTGCTTATAAATAAGATGAGAATATCTACTATTATCACTAACAACAAGTTTTACTCAGAATTTGAAAACATAATATTAAATTTCTAAAATTTAAATGACGGAGTACCGTAGTTAATAATTAGTGGTAAAAGGAAGAACGTGCAAACAAATCATCCTTTTAATACAAAGGCGGTTTAAGCTAACGGTCCCTTAAAATTAATTTTATCCTTTTAAATTATTCTACTAAAGTCGTAATTAAGGAGTAACCACATTGGAGAACGTGCGATGTTAGTCTTGAATATTTTGTTTTCGTAAATAAATACTGAAACAATAGATTGTGTAAAATTAAAAATTAAAGCGCTGAACGTGTCCGTCATGCTACTCAAAAATATTTAATTTCCCATATTTAAAGGAAACACTTTACAAGCCCTCTAGGAATTTCTCAAGTATCTACGATGCATATATCAATTATTGCACATGGATAAACATCAACACACAAAGAGTAACATAATCACTATGATTTACCACTATTGGTATACTTTTTTACACAAGGGATACGCTAAAAGTCCGAGAAGTAAGAGCGTGGTCCTTCCCCAATCGAGCCAACTCATTCGTGCTATAACTATACCACTTATACTGCTGTAGCATGACTATACCACGTAAAGACACTGACAAGTTATACATCAATGAGACGGTTTGAGGAGGCTTGATGTATTTTTTTCTTTCGTAATGGATTCATACGATTGTGCTTATGTCAATGTCAATTAACAAAAATTATTCCTTATAATAATTTGTTCAAAAACATTCAGAAACATTGAGAAGTTTTTCGGAGATTTCGATGACAGGTTAACATCAGACAGGTGATACTGTAGGAGCAACAATCTACAGGTGGATGGATATGTTGCCGCCAAACGTCCAGCTGGATATTTATTGATAAACTTCAAAATGGAACAGTTATTAAGTACCTATTAAAAATATAGTACGTGAGGGTAATATGGTCATCGTGTTAGTATAGTCATATTCTTATAACTCAAAAACTTTTTTTATAACTGGCTTTAAGGCTCTGGGATCTAGTCCTTCTGAGCCTGAAGTTACAATGTATAATTATCCTTCATATTACACTACTTCACAATATGATGATGCGTCACATTGTTTTTTTTTTTTATAGAATAGGGGGCAAACGAGCTTGCGGCTCACCTGATGGTAAGTGACTACCGCCGCCCATGAACAACCGCAACACCAGGGGAATTGCAGATGCGTTGCCGGCCTTGGAAGATTTAGACGGCAACTTGAGCCAGCAAACAGCTGACAGTTGTCAATGGTATCTCAAGGCGGCTAAGCAGACACCTTACCTTAAGAATCACATCACCATCAGAGCACTTTTTTCACCGTTTCCAGTTATAGTTCACATGCGTAGATACTTAATACACAAAATCGCACCACTTTTACATATCAAAGTCCACTTCAAACCATTATTTAAACTATAATACAGGAGCAGCAAACCGCCGCCGGTCAAGTTCCCGCCAAAACTCCACTCAAAAACTACAGCCTTGTTTGCATAGATCGCTCTGTGATACGATAGCTATTAATCAGTCAATTAAATAATAAAGGCTGAAAAGGGCGCTGATTTATGGACGCCGTTTTGATAGTCGATATTATAGTAAATATTTTAGCCGAATTAGGTATGTGTGAAGTGTTCCTAATTATTACCAAAGCTTGTTTGTTTTTTATAATATTTCTTTAGAATACATAAGTTATAGTATACGACTTTGTGTTTTTGTATCTACCCTCCTCCTAGTTCTGGTTGTATATTGCGGTAAATCTTAAGGAAATTGCTTTTCTTGTAAGAATCTTTGGCTATTACTTTTGGCAAATCTGCTTGTTTAAAAGCGTTTTAAATTGTTTGCTTAATTTAAAAGAACATGGTGGGCTTTGAAAATTAAACGAAGGCAGTCTGGCCGATAACGGCGCTCACACAAACATCATCTAGTGTACACATCATTTTAGCATTCATCGCTCTACGTACATTCAGATTTGTCAAACGGGTGTCCATAATCCACTTTTCGCATCCCTGGGTGTCATAACATGATGGATGGCGAGCCTCTGCGCCGGTTTTCTCACGGTGATTCTTCGTACCCATGCTATTGCAAATATGCTCAGGGATTTCAGGACCATTTCCTTATACATTGTATATTATTGTGCATAATATGAAATATTTAAAAATATACTAATAATAAGAACATAATTTTTGATTATCTAGTTTCGTATCAAAATATAATGGTACATCTATATTATTTTAATTTATTTTTAATTATATTTTTACACCATTGAGTATTAAATAAAACTACTTTTACGGATTTTTCCCTTTTGATTCCCGACGGTCCAGGTGCTTTCCAGCACCCATGGTCACAGGGAACTCGTGATACAGGGTTGTTGACGTCCCGATGTCAAAGTTAACCTGGAGTACCTTCAGTTTTTTAATTATTATTTTTGCTCCGATTTACGCAGAATGAACTTACTGTGTCATGAAGTTTTGCAGTGGTATGCTTGGGTTTAGTTTTCATTTTATTAAATACATGATCCCAAGCAAGTGGCAGTTAGTACCCAGTTTCCTATTTAGTTGACCTGACACACCAACGCTCCAGGAAATCTGCAGTTTGTGAACATATCCTAGACGGCCCTCGCCATTACATTAGATTTGATAGACCACAAATCTACGCGAAAGAATATCGATTTCTGCTAAGGATAATACGTGAGCCTTTTTAAATTAAAAGAAAACATGCTAATTACAATAGGGAAGGACGCTGGGTGCTTGTAATCCTGTAATTAATAAAATTAAAACTAAGCCCAAGTAAGACTTTAAGACACAGTAAGTTCATTTTGCGTAGATTAAACCAAAAATATTAATTAAAAAGCTGTTGGTACTCCGCGTTAACTCTGACATCTAGACAACAATCACTTCAGTTCCCCGTGAATATGGGTACTGGAAAGCACCCGAAACGTCGGAAATTAAAAATATATGCAATTAAATGCAACAAATCCGTAAAAGTAGATTTAATCAATGTGTGATGTTCGTGTAAACATAAGAAATAATTATGTAAACCATCGACTATGTTGAAAGTCGGTCGATAAAATTATATTCTACGAATATAATATGCATAGAGGATATATCGTATAGAGCATATAGCATGTAGATTATTTACCGTTTTTATAAAAGTAAGGGTGAAAACGAGCTCAAAGTTCACCTGATGCTGGGGCCATAGACACCTGTTTATGAGCCACAGCGTGTTATATACCAAATGTTAATACCCAGACCGAGAGCAGCGTCAAAGCAACTACAATTTTGGGCGATTATCAATCATCCTTCCACAACGGTAGTCACTGGCTGAATAAGATATTTTATTGTAACTGTAAAAAGATATATATATTTATGACCTCAAAAAAGAATTTGTAAGCATAAGAACATATAGCAAAGGAATAATAATACAACTACTTCGTATTTCGCGTTGTTATTTTAAATAGAAAATTTAGACAGTCTGTGCTCAGAATATAAAGGAGAATATTCAAAAGCTAGTCTCGAACGAAATTGCCAAATCATTGCATTCTGAGACGTGGCTTCGAGGGCTGTAGCTACAAACGATATTGAATTTCGGAGAAATTTTTGGCAAAACCAGCCAAATTATAAGATAAAAAAGTATGCCGCGATTGTAGTTTAGAATATTGAGGTAATGACTAAGCTTATACTTTTTATTGCTCCCTTAAAAGATATTTTACTGTTATCATCATCATTATTCATTACAGCCGATACAGTCCGCTGCGGATTATCTTACCTCTCCCCAAGGAATGCAACAAACCCCGGTCCTTTACAACCTTCATGCATCGACTTTCTGCACATCTTACAAGGTCATCACTCCATCTAACGAAGCTGTCAATCTTTCTTCCTAATGGTTATTGGTTCTTTGTGATATATACCTTAAGTAATGTCTCTTACTCCGGTTCTAGCGCGGATGTCCTTATTACATGTTCTATCCCTGTAAGAAACTAGGCCCTTTTCATAGGTCGCTTAGCAACTTTAAGCCAGCCAGTAAGTCGGAAAAATTTTAGTCACTCAAAGAAATCGTGAAGAGTAAAGAAATAAGTATCAATGTTAAAAATAAGACGTTGAATGCTTGCATCCTTCCCTGCATAATATATGGTTGCAAGACATGGTCACTCACTATAAATCATTGAAATAAACTTACAAGGTATCAAAGGGCGATGGAGAGAAATACGTTAGGAGATGTGTCGTAATCTCATGAAGGTTTCCCATTCGAGTTGCATCTGTCGATTGAGGCCTATGGTCAGCAGAGGACTTGTTAAGGGCTGTTATAATGATGATGATGATGATGAATATCATTTTGAGACTGGCATTCAATTGAAAATGGTCTATTACGCAGTGTGGTGATAATGAAGACGGAAATATAAGAGATATAGCTTACCATCCAACTCATAACCTTGGGCGCCCCACTGCGGCAAATCTTGAGAGTATATTTTAGGGTCAGTTTTACTGCCTATAGAGATCTTCAAGCTTTTCCACAGCTTCATTTTGTCAACATATTTATTATAACATGATACACGTCACATATACATCACAACACTAACTCTCACTTGTCACTTAGTAATCAGCCTGTACCTGCAAAAGAAAAGAAAAAACATTAGAACAACAGAAACACACGAAGTAAAAATTAATGACATTTTGAAAAAACACGCAATGTCTAGATGCTAAGATTATTAATAACCGACTTCAAAAAGTGAGGTTCTCAATTCGAGTGTTTTTATTGTTTGTGTGCATGTTATGCGATATCTTCGCAGATTGTGAACAAATGTTTATGATTCTTTTTTTTTATTAAATAGGCTTTACTTCAAGAGTAGTCACATTAAATTTTGAAGAAAAACTCCGCTCCCCAGGGTGGAAAATAGGGGAAAAATTTCATATTGGACTATTGTTTAAGGAATATCATATGATATCTTCACAGATTGACAGCCGATTGTATTGATTCTTTTTTATTAAATGGGTGGCCCAGTATAAATTTGAAGAAAAATTTTCCACTAAGGGTAGCAAATAAATAACGTATTTCTTAGTAATTTGAAGTCGGTTTTCAGTTTTTCTTAGAATAATGATTTCTTATATTTACGCGAACACTACACATTTTTAAATAAAACTAATTTTACGGATTTTATCGCGTATATTAACTTATTTTTATATTCCCGACGTTTCGGGTGCTTTCCAGCACCCGTGGTCACGGGGGACTGAGTTGTTTGACGTCCTGCTGCCAAAGTTAGCCCGGCTTTTTCTTAGAAGTTATAATTATTATGCCTTAGAGTAGGTCTAAATATTTCTGCCGCCAAACGGCAGTGCGTGCTCTGTATCCCGTAACGCAGTCTGAAGGGTATAGAGATCTAGTATAATGACAGCCTGTGAAGCATTCCATATTTGTCCTTAGAGGTGACAACACTGTAGCTTTCTTCGTTTTAAGTTATTTCCATGTGCCCATGGACTGCAGTAGCCATTTATAATTTAGTAGACTATAATAAGGTCGTTTTTCACTTCAATTGTTTAATATAACAGAAGATTATTTCATTTAACTTTTCTAAAAGTTAATATATTTACTTTTAACATAGGTTATCTCTTTATTCGAAGTGCCTTATACGTATATAATTTAATAGCAATATCTTCCGAATGCAAAATCATTTATTTTTTATGAAATGGAAAATGATAAACTATATTAGAGCGCGTCGCCAACAATAATGCAGTTTTAACCGTGTCCTTTAAAGTAAAAAGATACCTATGTATTTTTTTATATCGTGACAAATTTGCACACAGTCCACCTAATGGTAAGTGGATAATGCTGTGGCCCATAACCATCTGCATATACCTTCGATTAAAAATCAAAATGCAGATACGTTGTCGATCCTGGAAACGAAGACGGAATGCCTGGTTTTCAGTGAAAATGGTCTCCGGTTCTGTACACTCACCATACGAAACACAGCATCATTAAGCTGCTATTTTACGCTGGTACTCTGTGAGAGCATGGTCCTTCTCCGTTCGAGCTGACTCATTTGTGCTAAAATCATAATATATCTTTTTTATAGGATAAGGGTGACAAACGAGCACACAGTCCACCTGATGATAAGTCCTTGCCGCGGCCCATAGACATCTACATCTATTCTCGATTATGAATCAAAATGCAGATGCGTTGTCACCCGTGAGGACAAAGATGTAATGCCTCGTTTCCAGTAAAAAGGGTCTCCAGTTCTCTACACTCACCATACGAAACACAGCAACGTTAAGCTGCTATTTTACGTTGGTATTCTGTGGGAGCGTGGTCCTTCCCCGGTCGAGCCGACCCATTCGTATTCGTGCTACAACTATACCTACTACTAATATAGCTGCAGGGTGGCTCTACCACGTGTACTCGTAAATGTACGGGGAGTGTCTGTTCTTTCATAACAAATCTTTCATAAAGTATGTGTGTGTGTGTGTGTGTGTGTGTGTGTGTGTGTGTGTGTGTGTGTGTGTGTGTGTGTGTGTGTGTGTGTGTGTGTGTGTGTGTGTGTGTGAGTGTGTGCGCGTACGTGTGTATATAGGTTAATGGGTACTTTTTTCTTTAAACAATAGTCATTGATCTTAGTATTGACCGCCCGTCACGGATCAGCAACTACGTTTAACTAAAATAATGGCAGACGTTACGCTTATTTGCAGACAATACACAATCGTACTAGTCTGTACAACTTTTACGATTGCGTATTGTCTGCACAGGATAGATATTGTAACAGCTGTATTCCTTATGGTTAGTGAAGTGAGCCGGTGACCCTTTTTACTGGTAACAATGCGTTGCATATTATAAAGGCATTGAATTTTCTCTGTGGTATTAGTGTCCAAATGGCGTCCGCTCAAGTTGTTTGTGAAACATACGGCCACGCAAAATGCTACGCCAAATCCTACAACTGAGGCCTTAGACTGGAGTTGAGTCAGGATTCAGTGTCAGAGACTTGAGAAGAATTAACAAACACAATTTTCACCATACCATGGGTTGACTGGTAGATAATGCCAACTGGTTTTGAGTCCTTCCTTTATTACCATGTTAAAGTGAACATATGAAAGGTTTTAAATAAATAATTGAATGTCTTATAATCACCAATTTAGTTTATGCGTAAATAATTTTTAAAAACAAGCGTTCGAAACTCGAATCCTCTTTTTTCTTCTTTATCGCTACTGAGAATCATGTTGTATTTTATTAAAACGGATTTTTCAAAATCATGCAAATATGTAGTACGTAATACAATTCTGACTTGCAATAACTTATGAAACAATTCCACAATCACCGTACCGTAACAGCGTTAATCCTAAAAGCTACTTGAAGAACGCCGATTCATCGCAAGGAACATTAAATAAACAAAGAAACAAAACAAATGATACTGCTTGTAAGCGACTTATTAGCAAAGCGAAAATAGATCTTATAGGAGGAGCGACTCAGCTAAAACACTGATCATGGATGTCGTTTATTAATCCACTAACGAAAAATGTTTTTTGTAAATCTTATAATAACGCTAGCCATTTTTCATTTTCATTGAAACGTTTAAAAAGTGCACGGTTGACTAAGATCATTTAAAAAAAGAAAAGGTTTTATCTAAAACTATTTTTAGTATAGCTAACATACACAAATTTCACAAGGTACCGAACATCCTGACACGAAACAATTATTTGTAGGCCATACAAATACTACTGCTACTGCTGTTGTAATTTTTTTTAATTTGAACCCGCGGTACTCGGCGCCTAAACTCAATGCTACGCCACTGTGGAACGAAGCCGTTATTTTGATTTTATCATCAATTTTTTTTTATAGACGTATTATGACTTATGACACGAGCACAGACTAACTACACTGCGTCACACCTGTAATGCCCGTGGGCGTAGGCTAAGTGTAGAAGTACGAAAATAAACATCGGGTAATATATCTCAAAAAGTACGAGTAATTATTAAAAATAATATGATGCATTAAAATGTAATCAATCGTTGTTTCTTTACTTTATAAATATTTTGAAAAGTTTACATCTTATTTTTCATGTTGCTATGGCAACTAATGCTCGACATCCTCGGCAGGAAAAATAAACAACAGCTAGCCTTAATTTCACAACTTTCGTGAAAGGATAGATATTTTTAAACATTCTGACTAAAAATCCTCATCTTCTCGTCACCATTATGGGTACAATAATTTGTGCTACGAAAGCAGAATACACTATCTTGGTCTTGGTATCATCTCTAAATGAGACCAATTGTATGTGTTTTATCTAAAAAGGAGAAGTAGGGCCCAATTTAAATGTAGTTTAATAACTCTAAGTGATATTGCTAGGTATACTTTACAAACTGGCTTTCTAATTTTTAATGATTTGACCGGTACAGGCCGGGTTAAGATAATATTAACATTTTTGATTTCTCTTAATGCTCCATTTTTATTTATGGCAGTATAATTCCTAACTAATTTATCTTTCGGAACCTCCAATTTTACCATCGTAATCAACATGGGTGTGGTTTTATTCGTTTCTACGCTAAGAGACCTGCGCATTTGTAAATGTGTATTTTTATCGCCATATAGAACTTTGCATGATATAATAGTAAATTGTTGATGTTGTTCTACATTTAATTATTTTATAAATAATCTTACTTGAAAGCTGAAAATTTATAGAGAAAAATGGAACTGACATTTTAACATATTGATTTCGTTAACCTCCTTCTCTTTTGTCATTCGAACTTGATTTTGCTGAGTTTTCTTATTTCTTTAATATAATGTTATATGGTATTTTTCTTGATCGTGGTTCTCTTGATCTCCGGTTTCATCAGTAAAATCTGTGGATGCGGCTAACTCCGGAAGCATTATGTCATCAAGTTCCAGCATCCGATTTACATTTGTCTGCAATAACACCAGTTGTTCTGCCGTTTCTTCGGAAATTTCTTGCTTTTTCAGATGATTTTCGATATCGTTGATATTTTTTATAAAATATAAACCCCCTCGGGATAACTCTTCGTTAATGTTGCCACAAATTTAAAAACACGGTCAACATTTAAAGAGGAACGAAAATGAACCTGAAGATGTACGAAAAGTTAATAATGTGATGCATTAAAATATGATCATTCGTTGGTTATTTATTTTACAATTTTTTTTATTTGATAATTCCGATTTGGTCAAAATAATAGCAAACTAATCGGACCACGCGTGTTACCACGTACGTCTATCGGAAGTCGTGTCTAGCTGGTATTTCCCATATTCGTCACTTACGACAATGACGGGTCGAATAAGGGTGGCTGTATTCTTTTGCGCTGCTATACAAAGGTATGTATGTAGTTTGTGTATAGCCCTAACAACTTGACGGAGTATGAACTGCCAGTTGTCGTTACATTTTTCTTCATCTGCGGATTGACGTAGTCTATGATTGTAGTAATAATACCCATACAATGTTCGAAAAACCAATATAGCGCTCCTCTGAAGTGCGCACTGACGAACGTGACGAGACGTGACGTGAAGTTAATATTAGATCACTAGATAGAGTTGGTTTTCGATTTGTGTCTGTTTGTTGTGCTTGTTTAATAGTTAAGGAAATAGAATTGTCAATCATTAGTGACGTATGACATAA